GTCGATACATAATTCATAAAAATGTTGAAATAATATATATAAACATATATCATGGGAAGTGAAAGTATGTGCTATTTCTACATTTAAATGCATATGCCATCTGACATACATGCACAATGGATCTGCATAATGTAGGATCCTTATGTCATTAATTTAGCAAAAAAAAAACAGTATGGAACACAATATACACGTATCATCCTATTTTGATAGATTAATGTTTAAAGTATATTAAACAATAGAAAAACTGGTATCTAAATTCTCCAAATCAAAGAAATAAGATACCAGTCCTTCTTAAGTTAATATGACATGTCGACTGAAATATCTGACAATTGAACTTAAATATCTCGTTAAGTGGACCTAAATATCTGCAATTGTTCTCTTAAATGTAAGAAGTGTTAAAAAGTTGTTTCTTTCTTTATTTTACCTGTTTACTTTAGATATCCACCAGAGACCAAAGAATAATGATGTTATACACTACAAGTCACCCTTCGGCCTTCGACAATTAGCAATGTCCATACTGTAAAGTAAGCTAAAAACAAAAAGGCCTGTGCATGACCCAATGTGAGGCATTTAAAAAAATTAAACAAATGGCCTGAAATCTCATTGGAAAAGTTTCACTCTGTGGAATTTTAGTAAAATCAAGGCACTGCATTATGTTGTGAAAAAGCATTGTAGGAAATTTAGAGATTCTGCCAGCTATATGAATAAATAGTTACACCTGTTACAGAGACGTATAAATATATATATATATTATATATAAAGACATTTCTTTGAAACAATTTTGGCAGCAAATATTTACTAGTGAATAAAAAATTCACATTATACAAGTATACTATGATATGTATGTTCTTCTGTATTTTTAAAGTTATGGTGTATTTATTCTTGAGATAACTTCTCTTATATGTGTGCCATATTATTTCAATCAATTTTAGGACAGTTTGTATACTAAAATTTTAATAAGACGCACACCAACTACTCTGGGTCCTCATTCCTATCCACGTTAATGTTTTCACTTCAAAGCATTTTATGGAAGCGGGATCAATATACCTGAATTTATACATCAGACCGTACTGCACTGGTTACCGGAATTTTGGATACACCAAACCAGGCACTCCATATCTGAGAAACAGACTATATATGCCCTCATTTATAGAATGCATTCATAATTTTTGTATTATTCAAAATTATCAGTAAATTGTGTGTTCTACAAGGATCACCAGTCCTTCACCTCTCATTTGATACCTTAATTACTAAAATATATGCTAAATAGTTTAAGATTTACAACTATGCGTAGGAACTATTTTGTTTTAAATATGTACTACTTTCCAGTATGTTCTTTTTTGACCGGGCCCGATTAGGTGGTGTTACGTCTTACAAATTAAGTCCATCCAAATTACTTTTGCAAAGAATTCCGCGCTCAAGCCGATGCTAGGGGCCGTCTTAAACTTGCAGTGAGGTGAGAGTTTTTTTGTTTTTTTTTTTTAGCTCCGTGTTGAAGGCCTCACTGTGATTTTGAGATGAAGAACAACAATAAAAGCGCTGTTCCTTTGCTTTTTGTGTGTTTCTTTTTTTTTTTTTTTTGTTGCTGTGCATGTATTGATTTTGTGTCATGGATGTATACCCAATATCCTTTGTTTTTCTATTATGTTGGAGAATTTAACATCTGAGATATAACTGATGCACATGTTTCTATGGCAAAGCTTTTTAGGACTTAAAATTGTTGTACTGCATATCTATAAATCAGAAATGTCTATCATTCATTTCTTCCTTAAAATATGACTGTAGAGAAGAAGGAGTAATTTTCCCTCTATATCTTAACAAAAGAAGCTAAAAAATAATTTTTCTGGAGTTAGTAATTTTTTTAAATGGCCGGTAACTGGATAACCGCCAACTTTTTTTCTTTATTTTTCGATGAACGTATTGTTGGGATCAAATGTGCAAAGTTTAAGGAAAATCTATCATTTTTATTTACACCCCCATACCATTTTGGGAGTATGATAACTATTTTTCAATCTTTGCAACTTTCAACCCAGATGCAACCATCTATCCATGCAATAAAAAGCTATGTTTTTTGATGAAACGATATGAATGGAGACCGCCCCCACAGATTATGGTAATCAATGGTGGAATCACTAAAATTAATAAATAGATAAATGACTAAAGGCCTATGGAAGCTGCATATGGAAGATATGTGAATAATGGCAAATTACAATTGTAGAAATGGTTTTGTCCATGCTTTACCATGCAAACTATGAAACCTTTATAATATATGTTTTAATGAAGGCTCCAAAGGGGTGGGAAGGGGAGGTGTCTTATTTGTAATGAGTTGTACGGAGGAGTCTGTGGAATTTGTAAATATTTCAAGTTTGATAATATATAAGGGACTTTGCAAAAAAATTTAGAAGAAATATTTGATTATGTTGTTGATTATTTCGTAAGTATCTGCAACTAATCAGATTTCGTATTTTTGCAAAGATGAGAATAAAACCACTGTGTGAATGCATCATAATCAGATATACATGTATGTCAAATATATTTATCTCTCTAGGAAATAACATATTCATGATAGCTGTATTTTGAGGCAAAAAAAATATGATAGAGTATGTTTTTTTGTTAAAAATTCAAAATATATGATATGGGTAGGGAATTGGATGTCGCGGCTGCTTATCCCTACCAAAAAGGATTAAAGTGCCCCGCCTCCCTCCCCCACAGACAGAATTTGAAGGTAGTTAATCGTGTGGTAGCAAGAACAATCACAGCCTAACTGTGGAACTGGATAAGCAATAATCACATTAATCTATGCCTGTTCCATGTGCTAAATTTCTTATTTACACCACATCTCATGGTGGTACAGACCTTCTAAAATTCAAACTGACCACACGGACGATACACGCACGGACGATACACCCACGGTGAATGCACGATGAATGCACGGTGAATGCACGATCCACGCACGATGAGCGATGAGCGTTACACGGAGGATTAACGAAAAATGTGTGATGAATGATGAACGCACGATACACGCACGGTGAATGATGAATGATGAACGCACGATACACGCATAGTGAATGATGAATGATGAACGCACGATACACGCACGATGAATGATTCATTGACGAATTAACGATAAGCACTTAACACACAATTCGTAAAGCCATTTTATTTAGAACGGCATTTAAAATTGATGTATGATAATTAAAATGTATAAGACCGTACTGTGACCTATAATGGTTTACTTTTATAAATTTTGACTTGGATGGAGAGTTGTCTCATTGGCACTCATACCACATCTTCTTATATCTATACACATTTAAGATATCTCGCTTTCAGTGTTGATTGGTCGGCAATTTTACTAAACATTCAATGTCGGAAATAAATTAAATGTAGTATATCGTTTAGTGTATTTCCAATATCAATGAGTGTTGTCAAATTATAAAACTCATCGATTTTTATAATCCAGCTTATTATTAAAAAAGATAAAAAAAAAAATTATAAATTGTTACATTTTAAAGAGTGGCAGAATCAGCCATTTTTAAAAAGGGTTCTCAACCCAGGATAAAATGGGTGGTTCCAACTATATGTCCCCATGCAAAAGCATTGATCGTCAAATAAAGGGGGTTCCAACCCCCAGAACACCCCCCCCCCCCCCTTTTTTTTGTTTTGATCTGCCTTAATTTGTAACCTGAACTAATTTTTTATCATTTGTTTTCGTTCAGAAATGTATGAAATATTTGCCCACTGGATATTACGCAAACATCAATCCCGTCGAGGGAAGAACAAAAATTTGCTTCCGCAAATTTACAGATTTAACATTGTTGTGCTGATATTTAGAGTAATTATGTATATATATTTATATGAAAAAACGTGCATTGTGAATGCAACATTGCAAATAATACTTCTTAAAAATTCCCATTATAAAACTTAAGACTCTTTTAGTATTTTTGACGGGATGATGAAGTTTTGAGAATATCCCGGCCCAAAGAAAATACCTGAAAGAAACAAAAGAATGCCCTTTTAGATAAACAAATGTCTAAGATGGTCATTTCATTTAATATCATTTCAGAATGTGGTGTATACTTAATGATTTGGATCTGAACAAGGATTTGTAGAATCTAAATTTTATCATGTCATGTCATTGTGTTTTATTACTTATCAAATATGATTTCATGCTACATAATGTCATTTCCGTATTAAAAAAAAATCAAAAAAATCCAATAACTTGATTTTTTAATATATTTATGTAATTACTAATCTAATTAGTTGACACGCGCCGATGTTTTCAACACGGTAAGTCTTGAAATATCAACGAATACGTGTCGTCTCTGCGTTCAAGCGTAACCGGGAGTTTAAGACATGCGTTTTTAATTGTAAAGATAAAACCGATCCCGACGGTCCCTAATTAATTGCATATCACTAAAACGGAACTATATAGAACAATGACAAATTCAATATCAAAAATGTCTGCGGACGAATTTTCGAGAATCAAAATTTTAAGTTTAAATAATTAGTCGTTTTAATTCTATTACATGTAGTCTTTTTTTTAAATAATAAACATTCATGCTGTGTGTTTGTTTTTTCTACATTGGCTAGAGGTATAGGGGGAGGGTTGAGTTCTCACAAAACATGTTTAACCCCGCCGCAATTTTGCGCCTGTCCCAAGTCAGGAGCCTCTGGTCTTTGTTAGTCTTGTATGATTTTTATGTGTTTCGAAGTTTAGTATGACGTCCATTATTACTGAACTAAAACACATTTATGAAGCTGAAGCACGCCTTCGGGTGCGGGATTTTCTCGCTGTGGTGAAGACCCATTGGTGGCCTTCGGCTGTTTTCTGCTCTTTGGTCGGGTTGTTGTCTCTTTGACACATTCTCGATTTCCATTCTCAATTTTATTCAATCGGTTGTCATTCTCTTTATCTCTCTCTATGATGTTTTTGCAGACAAAAACAATTCGCAATTAGTCAGACATTAAACTCTCTCTTCTAAAACTTTTAGCATTAAAACCTAATTGCCTGAAATTGAATAAGTATGTTATTATTCTCATCACTTTTTCGGATGACCTTAATAATGTTTACCTATTAAATGATTTTTTGACAGAATTTTATATATTGTAGAATTCGTTCTTTTTATCGACACATTAATTGCTGACGTAAAATGTTATTTTTCGCGACGTCAAACTGTGAAATATCGGGAAAAGATGCATTTATTCGAGTGATTCAACCATAAGTTTAAAAACGAGCACATGGACCCCTCTTTTTAAAAATGACATTTGGCTTGATACTGTATGAAGATTATTCGTTCCAACTTTTATGAAGAAATCACCGATTTTTTTTTAAACTAGATAAATATACAACAAAAATGCCGTTTTTCTTCTAAAAATCAATTTCTTTTAACAACAATGAATTATTAACAAAGAATTGTTACACAAATGTAGAGCCCAATTTTGTAACGAAGATATTCCTAAGCTCTTTACCGAAATCCGCATATGTTTATCTTTTGAAACAAAAAAGTTAAGGATGTCTGTTCAAAGGACAGAAATGTCCAAGAAACCGAAATTCTAAGTAAATGTCGAAAAATTCAAACCCATTTATCTTTTAAATTAAGCACATACAGATTATAAGTTATCTACGTTCATATCCGTAGATATGGATATTTTAACACCCTGAAGTATCCAAGTACACCCTGAGGCGCAGCCGAAGGGTGTACAGGGTACTGAAGGGTGTTAAAATATCCATATCTACGGATATGAACGTAGATAACGAATTTATCCCCGGTCTTAGTCTAAATCTGGCGATTTTTAGAGAAATTCGACCACAAAGTTAAACGTGAAAGCAACGTTTTTTTCATTTTTTAAATATCTTTTATTGAAATTTGGGAATTTGACATATTTTTAACGGGATGTAGGGTACTACCTTTGGTAGAACCCTACAGGTAGACAAATATAAGACGTTTTTAAACTAGAGACAGAGAAACTGAAATGGGTCGAATTTGGCGCGCAATGTTGTGAGAGTTACATCATAAACGGTGTGACGTCAACGTGGGTCATTTGCATAGCTAGGTCAGTAGTACCATTCATTGACAATGTGGCTGCATAGTGACGATTTACTAAAATGTGTGCAAATAATCGATATAATAAGATAAAATCGTTAGTGGATTAAATATTTGATTAAACAGACATCATGGAAAATCTACAGAATTCGATATTTCATAAGGAACAACCATGGAACTAAGGAAAACGCGCGTGAAATTCCCCGATGTAATGGGTAGCAACGTCCGGGGATATGGGTTAGCAACACCCAGGGGCTATGGGTTTTGTAACGACGTGCGTTAACCAATCAGAATCCTAGAAATATACTAAGCCGGGGATAAATAATTTTTATTACATATTCAAATTGATTTTATAAAAAATAGCTTGTATGTAAACTTTCGTAAAAAATCACTGTGGGTTTAAAACTGTATCAAATGCCCATAATTGCCCTAAAGCTAAATGTCATCGTCAGATTATGAGGGTCTGGATGGGGATTCATTATTTCTGTATTCTATCATTTTCGGTCATTTTTTTCTATTCGTTATACTTTTTGCCCATCATTCTTTATTCCTTATATTCTAGTACCTCATCATTCTCTTTTCTATATTTGTTTGGTTATTTTCTGTATGCTTTATTTTTTTGTCAATTATTTTCTATTCTGTAAACCCCCATCCACACCCTCATGTATAATGGAAGACGATAAACATTTTAGTATACATACCACCCGTTGTCACTTCTCACCTGACATACATACCACATGTTGTTATTTCTCACCTGGACACAGGACTTATATATATATTACGTAATAGTAACGAACGTAAAATTATCGATATAGTAAATTCAGTAGAATATAATCTGTATCAATGCACTGGCTTGTTAAATGTATTTTGATCTGACAACAAGAATACATTTGTTTATCATATTTTTAGTTTATTTAGTTATATTTGGTCATATTTTAGTTTCGAACAAGGCAAACACCATCGTATTTTCAAAAAATCTCTAAAACGTGCTGAATTTAAGAGCCTATATCAAGAGATAGGCTTTACCTAGCTTTAGGGGTTTTGAAAAATATCCATTTAGGAACCAAATTGTGGCTTCTTTATATTTATATCAATATTGAAATTCAAGGCCGTATTTTGTCGAAGAGAACAAGGTTAACAATTACCCTAGGTGTAACATGTGAGAAGAGGTTTCGTGTTCCCTTAAAAAAATTTATTGAAGTAACTTATCTTTTGAAAATCAACGAGGACGATCTCTCAATTATTATGCAACTGTAACTAGTTTATATATACACGTCTTTTTACTTGATTTTAATAATTGCAAACACTTTTATACCGATTTTCTGATAAGGTTTTTTATTGTACTAAAGTAATAATTTTAATTCCCGTGGGTATTCCCCGAGGGAAATACGTTTTTTTTTTAAGGGTTTACAAATCTTCGTAGCTGAAATATTTTGATACTTATGTCATGCACGAACAGATATATATGACAAACATTTTTAAATTTTTCAGTATATGGATTAAGAATTTTTTTTAAGAAACGTAGGTTTCAGCTACAACAGACTAAGTTGGCCTTTGATGGATTTAGCGCTTATGTAAAAATAAGAAGATGTGGTATAATTGCTAGTGAGACAACTATTCAAGAAAGTTCAAATCAAGAGGAATGTTAGCAGTTATATTTATAGGCCGTACGACCTTCAATAATGAAAACATACGGAAACCGTAAAGTCGGTTATAAAAGGCCCCGCCCCGACATGAAAAAATATGAAACAATTCAATTGAGAAAACTAACGGCCTTCTTTATAACAAAGCAATTTTGCCAACAAAAAAAAAGCCCAAATATATAACAGAATTGAAGTTACGACAACCACTGAACTACTTGCTTTTGACTTTGGACAGACACATATATACAAAGAATGTTGTTAATGTGTAGGTCCTTTATTGGTCATATAGCTCTACACTCCTATCTATTTTATACATTCTTTGGCTTTCAAGTATTTAGCATTGAGCGTTCCTAGTGAAATTAAATTCAGAAAAGCGTTACGGATGCATGAAATTTATAACGTGTTGTTTGGTGAGGGGATCAAGACGTAGGGATGTGAATGAGTGTTTTATATGTGCAATAATTTCGGCCTCCTAACTATAGTCTAAATCTGCAGTTGTTTCATGTATTTGATATGCAAATTATCACAAAACTAAAAGGATAAGATGGATGAATAAATAGTTGATCGTTTAACGTCCAGTGGCATCTATTATAGATTCATTATAAGGGGGAGAACATTAATTATGATATAATTATGAACATTGGCAATCATACCACATTTTCTTTTTTATAAGGACGTACGTGTGTAGATTTTCGTCTTTTACTGTAAACGACAGTGTCCCCGGAAATCAAAACCGAAATTAAACTTGTGTAAATTTCTGAAACATACATTTCATTATTTAACCAATGTAAAGCAAAACAAATAATACCGTTTTGAGCTATAAAACCAAAGCAATCCTTGGGTAAAAATACAGACAAGACCTAACGGTTCACCTTTTATTATGTTGAACCAATTTGAGAGTCAAACGTAAACTACTACATGTATATTTGATGGATGAATCATGTATTCTGTATTATTCCCCAATGAAAGCTCGGATAAAAAGGAATTGGAATGATTTAAAAACCAAAGTTATAAATGTACATGAACAGGCAAAAAATGTACTCCATCTCATTCATTGGTGAATAAGTTGCATATCATATGATGTACGTATTACTAGACAAAAGTTGCTGGATCTTGATAGATGTATACGAAACTTCAATGAATTATTTGTATTTATCAAAATAACTATTATATCCGATGAAAATGAGAAAAAATCTATCGGATAAAAACAACCGTTTTTTTTTATATGAGACAAAATATATCCTATTGGAGTCAAATTTGTCCTATGGATTCGTAAAGGACAAAAATATCCAGTAACGGAACAAAAAATACCCTCATGGTAAAAAAAAATCGTCATTCTTTAATAACCCTTAGAAGGTTAACAAAGTACTATTGTAAATTATTTTTTCGGAATTAATCTTTTAGACATACATTAAAAACGGTGTCCCGGATTTGCAATCATGAACACGATGAAAAGTTAATCCGAAAAACATGTTTATTTCAAAAAAAAAATAAAGAAATGATAATACCATATATTTAACTATTTTATCAGAAAATAAAAAAAAACTGTACTTTAAACCCATAACCACAATTCCAAGTAAATTAAAGTTCCTATATTAAAATCAATTTTAAGGAATACGTGATATATTTTCCTGATCTTATACTTGTTTATTTACAAAATGGAAAGCCACAGTATGGAAAGCCACAGTGAACCCCCCGATTATTATTATTTTTCTTTTAAAAATACATGGATACAAATAAATCTTCGGCTTTTAAAATCCCGCCGATTATTATCAATTCTAAAATCTTCGGCTTTTCAAAATCTTCGGCTTTCAAAATCTTCGGCTTTTCAAAATATTCGGCTTTCAAAATCTTCGGCTTTTCAAAATCTTCGGCGGGTTTTTATTTTTAAAAGCCGAAGATTTTAGAATTGATAATAATCAGCGGGATTCTAAAAGCCGAAGATTTATTTAAATCCATGTATTTCTAAGGGAAAAATAATAATGATCGGGGGGTTCACTGTGGATTATTTTTGGTTTGGTTTATAAAAGCCGAATATTTTATTATTGAAAATAATCTGCGGGCTCTTGATTAAAAGCCGAAGATTTTACAATTGATAATAATCGGCGGGGGTCAGACTTTTAAAAGCCGAAGATTTTATAATATAATAATCGGCGGTGAATTTTGAAAAGCCGAAGATTTTGAAAAGCCGAAGATTTTGAAAGCCGAAGATTTTGAAAAGTCGAAGATTTTCAGACTTTTAAAAGCCGAAGATTTTATAAAATAATAATCGGCGGTGAATTTTGAAAAGCCGAAGATTATGAAAAGCCGAAAATTTTGAA